TTTCCATTCAGAGGCACAGTCCATTAGGGTTTGCAAGACAGTCACCTATGCCCTTGGGAGCAAGTAGCTTAACCTATCAGCCTTCATATAGTCAAGGTCTAAGGACGACTTCACTAAATCATTCTGCTTGCCCTACACCAAACCATCTTTCTCGTCATAGTCCTGCTCCATTCTCCAAAGCATCCACTTTCTACAGAAATAGTCCAGCAAGGGAAATGCATCTTTCTATAAGAGAAGGGAGCCCTTTAGAAATGCACAATGAAGTCTGCCAAACTGGTATCTTTAATTATCCTAGTAGACTAGGAAGAAGAAGCAAGAGTCCTCAAATGATGACAGGTCATAGTTCCAGGCCTGGAAGTCGCTTAAAGCAACCAATAGGACAAATTCCTCTCGAAAGTGGTCCTCCTGTAGGGCTTTCTATTGAAGAGGTGGAAAGACTTAACACTCCACGCCCTAGAAATCCAAGCATCTGTAGTGCTGATCATGGAAGATCTTCTTCTGAGGAAGACTGCAGAAGGCCTCTGTCAAGAACAAGAAATCCAGCTGATGGTATTCCAGCTCCAGAATCATCATCTGACAGTGATTCCCATGACTCTTTTACATGTTCTGAGATGGAGTATGATCGTGAAAAACCCGTGGTGTATACTTCAAGAATGCCCAAACTATCTCAAGTTAATGAATCAGATGCTGATGACGAAGACAATTATGGCGCTAGACTTAAACCTAGGAGATATCCAGGCCGCCGAGGAGAGGGTGGTGGTCCTGTGGGTGCCCAAGCGCCTGCACCTGCATCCAGCATTAATGATAGTTCTCCTTTAAAACTTGGACCACAAGGGGGGAACTTCAACTGGGACAACCTTTTGAACTGGGGCCCTGGATTTGGGCATTATGTGGATGTTTTTAAAGATTTAGCATCTCTTCCAGAAAAGACAGCAGCAAATGTAAGTGAAGAGTGCAAAAATGGTACAACGCAACCAAAAGATGGAGAAGCTGAACAGTATGTATAGAACTTCATATTGACATTGTCAAAATACAAATGCATAAAATACTCAAGCCATTTTATCGGTGTAGATAAAAAAGGACACATTTTGTTTTAGCCAGGGCCAGTGGTTAGACACATTTAAAATAATCACAAGTATGCTGCTGAGAAGAACAAATATTTTTTTTATTTAATTACAACTGGTTAAATTTGTTTCTACTGCATGCATTATATTTTCAAGCAAGATATATTATATGTGGTATTTGGATTTTTATCCTTTATATGTTGTTTGATTTGTGATTTTTAAATTAAGAATGATTAGCTCTAAAAATGGCTGCAAAATGTTTTGTTGTGAGGGGTGTGTTTGTACACAAGTTGAATATGTTGTTTTGAAATGTAAAAATATCAACTATGTTGATTTGTTGTGAGAACCAATTTTGCAGATGCTAAATGAAGGAATGAAATTATTGTATTCTTCCTGAAACTATATTTCCTATCCCTCAGTTGCTCAACTCTGAATATTTCAAAGAATGATAAGCTTAAGCTTATTGTTTTATGTTCAAGGGGTGCTGTTAACTAATTTATGAGCACTTTAGGATTACATTATTTTTTACAAGGATGTGTGAGAACTTCTGAATGATTTTTTTCCTTGTTTCCCGAAATTACAGTATTTTTAGCTTGTATGGAAACTGATACACATTGTCAAATTGAACAAACAACAGAATTTGTACAACAGATAATGTGGTTGAATGCAAAGTGAGAATAGAAAACTGAACTCTTTTAGTTCCAAATTAATACCAACTTGAATAATAACTTTGGCTTGACAAACCACCCTACTGAAATTTCAGTTCTGTCATCTGGAGAAATTAGAAGATACTATAAATAATAAAAATGATTACTCTAACTCACAGGGGGCATAGTGAGGATTGTTTGCCTAAGTGTTAAAAAGCCAGATAGCACTATACTAAATATTATTATGGTTATTATTCTAAACACTGCCTTCCTGTAGGATCTTTGAGTGATCTTTTTGTTACACTACAGAATATTCCATGATAGAAGAATTTGAAATAAGCATATTTATTAAAAATATAAGTTGCTGCACTCTTGGAACAGGAGACCAGTTTTAAAAATGTACTTATAGTGCGATCCTAGAAGTGTCTACTCAAGATCAAGTTCCATCAAATTCAGCATGTATAATGCTAAAGCTTGGATTGTAATTTCACTTCCTAGCCCAGGGACTAAAATTGCTTTTGAGTAGATGTGTATGATTGCTCTATTAGTATTGCAATACAGAAACTCTAGTATGAAAAATGCACATATGGAATCAGCTTTGAACAGCAGAAATAACTTTTATCTTTAAAATGCATTGTGAAAATATGGGGGCACGTCACAAAATATGATGCTACTTTTGTGTATTTTAAAGACAAAAGCAGAAAGTTATGAGTATTTGCATGCAACATTCTTTATTTGTATGATACATATATGTATTTTGCTCAGGTATTCATATCTGAGTATAAAGTTTATCCTAAGAAGTTTATCCTAAGAATTGATCCTGTAATAAGGGGAATCCTAAATGTCACTTATAAAAGATAATATTTTTAAACACCTTTGTTTTAATTTGGGGGATTTATACAATGCCCTTATGTTTCCATGAAGCTTCTATTATACTGTGTGAAAAATGTAGGGGTTTGGGGGAGTGGGGTTTTTTTCTTCTTAATATGTTGTCTCCCTTTATTTCTACTTGTTTCTTAACCTAAATTCTGTTTTTGGTATCAGAATAGTTTTCCGATACAGAATAGCTTTCTTACTTTCAGGAAAAGTAAGAAAAAACTCTTTTTTACATTTGTTACTTCTGTAACATTCATTTTTTTCACATTTTGATAAAATTGTAACAGACCATATGCTTTTTGAGTGTACATGCCAATAATAGAATTAAAATATTTATTTAAAATATATTGTGTGCAGTAATGGAAACAAATGCTAATGCAATTGTACAATACAAATATGGTATCTCTAGCATATTTAAAGACCAGTAAGTTGTGGAAGAGTCATTTTGGCTAGAAACCAAAGCTCTGGTCCCAAGAGCTTCGGCCAGTCACTCTCAATCCTAGGAAGAAGACAATGGCAAACCTTTGGGAAACCATGCCGAGAAAAGTGGAAGGACTGGTCCAGGCAGTCATCAGGGGTCAACACCGACTCAAAGAAACAAAAAAAATAAAAATAAAAAGGTCTACGGCAAAATTCCAGACAATAAGTGGTTATCCACTCATTTGTGCAACATCCACATGCAAAGAATATTGGTGGATAGAAAGCAAGTTTATATATACACGTTCTGAACCAATCACAAAGTGTGATGAGTCACCTGGAGTTACAAGAAATATGTAAACTTTGAGCTGGGCAGGAGCGTATCCTTTATGTGAGCATTTCCAGTGGAAAGCAGAGAAGCAACCTTTCTTTGTATTCAATCAAAATTATTTGAACATCTATCTAGTTGTTGAAATAAACTATTTTGATTCCTGCTTCCAGGCATCAATTAAGTCAATAGCAAACTAGTATAGTTATTTCTTAGCTGTGTCATCTGATATATAGTCGTGTGGAAAAGAAAGTACACCCTCTTTGAGTTTATTGGTTTTACATATCAGGATATAATAAAAATCATAAAAAGCATTAGGAGTTCTTAAAAGTAGATAAATAAAATTTCAGATGAACAACACCACATGACATGTTGCACCATGTCATCATTTATTTTACAAAAAAAAAGCCTGCTAAGGACCGGATGATTTTATTATGTCCTAATACATAAAACCATAGAACTCAAACAGAGTGTACTTTCTTTTTCACGTGACTGTATATTGTATACTATATTGTAGTATAAATTTATCATCATGAATGATAGCTTTTAAGTCCTGTTCAAATGCCTGGCAAAGAATGTGATATCAGAAAATTAATTTAAAACCTGTACTGTGATGGGTCACCTAATGTGCCTCCTGTTTCATGGTTGACCAAATGCTAGGTACTGGTAGAACTGCTGCTATGGTACATATATATTTTATTGTTTAATTCCTATTCAACTTTAGTGGACCTAAAATATACCACACAGTGTGCTGGAGAAAATGTCTAAGTTTATCAATTTACTTTGTTATAGGAAAATTATTTATATTAGTACTGACCATATAAAATGTGTTTCTGTTTTTGCATTCATGATACATCTCTTTCTCTCTTCTTGGCTTTTGTGAACCAAAAATAATTTTGCCATTGAACTGCCCAGTGAAAGTAACTTCTTTTAATTCTTGAAAAATGCATTTTTTTAAAAAAAAGCCGAACTCAGAATTTTCTTTGGAAAAATTTCCAAATCTGTTACCTCTCTGTAATAGCACTAATTTAAAAGACAAAGAGCAGACATATATGTGACTGCTAGTGCCATCTGTTGTGAAAGTTTTCATCTGTTGCATTCAGTGCTCTCCAATCTCAAATGTGCATTCCAACATTTTACACTAGACCTGGAGAAAAGAATGCATGTTTTATTTAATCTTCCTAACTCAAACTAGTAGTTTTATAGGTTCAATTCCAATGCTAATCTGATCAATATGAAGGATTATAAAATGCCCTCTTTTATAATTCTTGCTTATTTTCATAATTTTGCTTTTTTAGGCTATAAAGATGACTGAAAATACAAAATGATCAAGATCACTCTTAAAAATCTCTGAAAGTACACTTTCTAAAATATCATATATTATGTGGTTAATTATTGTAAATATTAAATATCATGATAATAGATTCATAATACATCATATGCATTAATAGTGTTTTACAATTTGTGAAAACAACGTTAAAACAACTGAACATGCTGTATAGAACAAACATTAGAAGACTGCCAAAAAAAATTGACTTAAGTTAAAAAAAATAGTTTTAAAAGATGAAGGGAATATGTGAAACTCATTTTCTGATTTGCAACCTACATTTTGATTTCACCATAGTTTTTTTTAAAAAAATATATGAGAAAACCCCACCATTATATTGAATGGCCTTGACAAATCTGTTTTTTACACCTAAAACATATGATGGTCATTTAAGAATAAAGGAACCAGTAAGTTCCACAATGAACAAAAAAAGAAGCCATAGTACATTGTATCTATTCTCATGTACAATAACTCCAACATAAGCTCCCAAGTATCAGAACAGTAACAATATGTTCAGGAATGTATATTAATATCTGATTTCTTAAAAACAAAAAATGGACATTTTTCTCAATATTGCATTACACAGGCAGCAGATGGCAGCATTTGGCAGCATTGCTTGAGCTTGAAAGCTAAGCTGGGTGAAGCAGGTTAGTAGTTGGATGGGAGACAAATTGAAAATATTAGGCTGTAAACTGGAGTATGAAGAAAAAGAAAGAAAAAACCCTGAATACATATAGGACTACATTGTAGAAAGTGGCAAATCACTTTCATACTATTGCCTGGAACACTACAGTACAAGTTCATTAAATCAGAATAGTTGAGCTTTATTGAAAGGAAACTAACTTTACTTTTATAATATGACATTTCAAGATGTCCCATTATAAGAAAGTCAGTTAAAGTGGGTTTCAACAGATAAGTTAGTTTTTGATTGTTTATATTTTCAGGTAGCGATAGTTTTCACTTCCCATTCATCCTTTGTTATTATGGCTTCTTCCACTAGACATCAAGATTTCTAAGAGAAAACTAGAACCATGCCAAACAATGCCAAATAGTAAAAGACAGTTTATTTAATTAAAAATCCTGTACAAGGTGAATGAGCTTAGCCATGAAGAGGCATTTTATCATCAAAGAGATATATTCTCATTACTGGCAAAATGATTCTCAGGGTCCTTGCATTGCTTTCTGTTTGGAAGCTGACTAGAAGAATTGGAAAAGACTTTTGTGTATGTAGAAGTCTCTTCTGATCACTTTTACCAAAAGCAATCCCCCCCCTTTGAAGATTAGCACAATGCTATTATACCGTGGTTCTTTTATCCATTTTTGGATATTAAGCCTCTGATACACCTTTTCCTCTATTCTTTTATGCAGCTTGGTATTTAATATTCACTTTTCTAAATACAGACTTGGCAGGATTGGGAAGTATTTCTGTAACCCCAAGAGCAATCATAGCAGGGAAGGGTGTTTTAATCTTAACACTAAATCTTCCTTTTTTACTGCTCCAAATATTTTTATATTTTATGTTATCTTCTATCCTTTTCATGTATATTTCTTAAATACAAGTACAAAGGATTGCAAAGGTCTATGTGCATGCATGTATATCTGTATCTTTTGTATAGCTTTTGAAAAGAATTTTTTCTGCCCTGTTTTGCAAAAACTCATTTCCCCTCCTTACTTTCTCCTGTGCAATAAAAAAAAAAAAGTCTAGTGGAGCACAATTTTCTGAGACCCTAAATAATTGAGTCTGACAAGAGTTTCTTTTTTTTCAGTGCAACTGAAGTTGATTTTAGCTGCTTCTGTTTTGACTTTATGATTTCCCATGATAGCTGTAATTGGATACACACTAGGCAATTTGTTGTGTTTCAAATGACATTTAATACTAAAAAGAAGCCAGCAACAAAGGACAGCAAGTGCATCAGAAAACACGATCCTTTTCATTCCACTTATGACATAACTGAATGTGCAGTTATCTAAGTGATATAAGGCAATATATTCTATGTCTTCCTTCATTTTCAAAGGTCAGTGGCTATCATTAGCTAAAGCAGTTTAGTATGATCTTTTTATTAAATAATAATTTTATTAGTTCACAAGAGTTTTATTAGTTCACAAGAGGTATTTGATACCTTGTGATTGATATCATGTAATCACTGCTTCTAGTAAAAAATCGTGTAACTAATCCAGAAATTAAAGGTCAAACCACTGTAGTAATGTTCTCTAGTTTTTCTGCCTTCATACTAGCAGTAGGAAAGGAAGGCAAGGATATTTTGGGAATTCATTAAACATTTAGCTCTTCAGAGATTTCACAAATTTAAGCAACTGTTTCAAATGGTTTCAGAACAATTGTCTGAAAAATAAATACACAACAGATATAATTAGTGCCATCAAATTAGGCCTAATCTGATATTTTCTCAACAAATATTTTCTCAACTTGCCTTTGGTTATAAAATTGTAGCTCTTCCAAGGGCAGTCTAATAAATACTTTGATCCCATTTATATACTTTACCTATTATGCCATTTTTCCCAGAGACATTTGCAGCAGTATTCTCTCACTTCAAAGGAGATATGAGTGTGATTAGGCAAAGCTCCATTCCTTTTTAGCAGTAACTGCATGCACATTGATAGGACTGGTGGTTCAATTACTCAGTTATGTCTACCATTCTGACAACAATACAACTCTCCTACTTCCCTCAAGTTTGTCAAACTTGTCTGCTCATATTTTTTGTCCAAAGATTGTTTGCTTTTGTCCAAAGATTGTTTTTTGTCCAAAGATTCTGTTTGCTAATCATAATCTCAATAGAGTAGTCAGTCTTTACTTGATCCATGATTGATTGATTAGTTGTTTTTTTTCTTATAGTCCATGGTATTGTCTATCTCCATATCCATTATTAAAAAGCATGTGTTTCTTTTCCTCTTTCTAAGAATTCACTTTCACAACTTTGAATTATTGTTATTATTCTAATTATTCTGTGCTGTGATAAAAATAGCTCTATTTTCTATTATCCTACATACATTTTTCATTATTTTCATTCCTACAATTAATATTCAATTTACTTTTCTTAGAAAATAATATTTAATTTACTTTTCTGTCATAGAAAAGTAATATTCTATTTACTTTTCTATCATAGAAAAGTAATATTCGATTTATTTTTCTGTCATAGGAAAGTAATATTCGATTTACTTTTCTATCATATCATATGTATTCCATTATTTCTTTGTTCTTAACTTAAGTTTTCTTGCCATTATATTTGTTTTTTAACATTTAACAACACATTTTTATTTTTATTTTCATAATTATCTTTTATAACATGTTTTAACTTTCAACTAATGGTGTCATCTGCATGGATTGTTTTCTTAACATGTAGACTTCCAATTTTGAATCAAACCATTATTTTTTCCAATTCTGCTGTCTTTTAATCTGTTTGTTGAATAAATTAATTAGGTGTGTCCTTGTTTCACACCTTTTACTGTTTATCCATATTCAGTTTTGTATTAGATTCTTGTATAGTATAAGGATTTTTCAAAAACATAATTAAATGTTTTGGCTTTAATTATATTTCATGTATCTATTAGCTATTAGCTTTAATAGCCTAGTCTAGCACAATACCAACATAGAAGAAAAATAACAGCTCTCAAAAGAAACCAGCATGGCTGCATAAAGAACTCTCTGATAAATTGAAAGATAAAAAGGACAAGTATAAAAAGTGGAAAGGGGAGTACATAATTAAGGCAGAATATCAGCAAATAGCCCAGGCCTGCAAAGATGAAATGAGGAAAGCTAAGGCTCAAAATGAACTAAGGCTTGCAACCAAAGTCAAAAATAACAAAAAAGCTTCTTTCAACATGTAAAAAAAGAAGAAAAAAGTTAAGGAAATGATTGGTCCATTAGTGGGGGAAAGTGGCAAGAAGGTGACAAGTAACAGGGAGAAAGCAGAACTATTTAAATCATTTTTTGCATCTGTCTTTATACAAAGGGAATAAACAGTCCAACCTCTCAAAAACATTACCATAAAAAACAGATTAAAAACACAAGTTAAGATAGGCAAGAAAATGGTAAGTGAGCACCTGTCCAGCCTAGACGAGTTCAAATCACCAGGACCAGATGGATTACACCCCAAGGTTCTCAAGGAACTGGCAGATGTGATCTCAGAACCACTGAACTATATTTTTCAAAGATCCTGGAGCACTGGGGAACTACCAGAGGACGGGAAAAGAGCTGATGTAGTTCCCATCTTCAAAAAAGGGAAAAAAATAGATCCAGGTAACTACAGACCTATCAGCCTGACCTCAATACCTGGGAAGATTCTGGAAAAGATAATCAAGCAATGAATCGGCGAACACCTAGGGGCAAACAAAGTCATTACCTAAGGCCAATATGGGTTTGTCAAAAACAGATCATGCCAGACAAATCTTATTGCATTCTTTGACCAAGTGACAAAATTAGTGGACCAGAGGAATGCTGTGGATATAATTTACTTGGACTTCAGTAAGGCATTTGATAAAGTAGATCACAACCTACTACTCAATAAGATAGAAAAATGTGGGTTAG